ACGTGCACTGCACATGGTGGTACAAGGATGTGCGTTTACTTGACCCCAGATCCACTGTCACAGCAAATTCAGAACATAATGTTAAATCCCAGTGGTAGATGAAATGTACGCAGTGCATGACTGATTCCATTATTCTCCTTGATGGGTTTGTGGGGTTTTTGTACTTTCTTCATTTCCTTGATGATTTTCTTTCTGGGATGGGTTATTTTAGACTGACATGGGCCACCAGTCCAATCAGGAGTTGTAATGCTTAACTTTTGTCTCATGGGACAAGGCGATAATTCTTAGTAATGCTTTTTATTTTTTTATAGCTCTTCATTTTTTCGCTTCTCTTTAATTACGATTCCTTCCATTTACTGATTTGCCTTCTTTCTAAACTGTATGCTTATTGATTTTTAAAGATAACCATTAAAGACATGTACTCATTTCCATGTACCATGAAGTCGTTTGGGAGTCCTCAAAAGAACGTTTGCCCAAGTAATGAGGACTGACAGTTCACTGACCTTTGCTCACGTGACAACACAAAGTACCATCTTATATCATCATTAAAGTGAAGAACCTTAAAGCAATTTATTAAATCACTGCCTTGCTTTGTTCTCAATAAGCAGTGAATTAAGCCTTCTTATATCTAACCCAGACCAGAGTCTGTAACTCAGACACTACTGTTTCTGCAGCCTTGTGTTCCAAGCTGGCTCCCCAGAAATGCTACCAGAAATAGTCTTCCTTTATTTTTCCTTAGAGAAACCTCTAGGTATGTTTGGGATTACAAGCTTAGGTATCCACAGGTGAGTGTCCATGGTAGCTAACCAGTATGAAATGTTTAAATCTTGGCCACAAGTTATTTTTAGGTCTGTTTCAGGAGAACAAAACTTAACATGGCAACAGTGAGCATTACTGTCCCTTGTCTTACACTCTGTGAGAATCCACAGCCCTCTACTGCCCAAGAAGCAAGAAAGATGTGTCCAGAAATGTGCACCAAGGAATCGCCTAAGCAATGGGGGGGCTGAGGTGTGTCTTCAGCTCTTTCCCTGGGAGACAGATCCCTATGTTTTTGTGTGAATCATCCCTTTGGAGTCTGTTAGATGAACCAGCTCTGCTGGCGAAAGACTCCTTATGATTTGCAAGACAAGCTTCATTTCTGTGGTAGAGCTGAGCACTGAGCAAAGGCTGGAGAGAGCTCCTGGCTGCTATGGAAGAAAAAGGCAAAGGGTGAGTGATCCTACAGTTGTGACCTGCATCATCATGGGAACACCTTTTACTCCAGTACTAGTATAATAGTTTGGGGATCTCAGTTTTGGATGTAGCTGCTTACCGGAACAAAGCAGCGGCACTCTGCTAGCTAGATTTTTCAGTCAGTATAGGTTTGAATCTTACTATTGTTGCATGTGCTGCTATGTCTTTCTGTCTGAAGGAAGCACGTTCCTAGGTTCTGCTTTGCTCAAGAATGAGCGATCGGGAGTTAGGCAGCATCAAACAGAAGGAATCATATTCCTATTAGCTCATTTTGCTCTGTGCAAATATCAGTCTTGCACTTCAACTTTCTGTTCAGAAAATAAAAGCTGCTATTCTAGTTACTTGCATACCTGTGGGTATGAACATAATCTTGTGAGTAACATCAGAATGTAAATGTTTACCAGTGCATTTCCTTTTAAGAATTTCTGTTCTGCCTTTAAGAGAAGGGTGGTTACCACTGTTTAATAAGTTAGCAGCACATGCTGATGTTCCTGATTTGTGTTCATTGTTTTTAGGATTTTGCCCATGGTAAACATAATTTCTTCTTTGCAAGTAGAAAAAAAATCAGGCTCTGGGAGGCTAATGAACTTGCTTGTTCACACTGTTCTAATACATGCCAAAGTAAGAGCCAAAACATGAGTTCTGACTGTGGTTCTGACATGCACTTACAATGTAAGAGTACCGTTCCCTGAGGTTTATTTTCCCAGACAGACAGTGAACTTTGGGTCTCTTCACAAGAGGTTAATTGGAGTCTCTGTCCTTTCCTTAAATTAAAGAAATGCCCTGAGGAAGTTGATGCCCTAAACGTGTCTCAAGAACTTGACATCCAATTTAAGGTGGCACAGAGAGAGGAAAGACAAATGATAGGTGGTGACCACAAGCTGAATGCATCAGAGAAACACAGCAGTGCATACCAGGTGTGTGGGCAGAGCTTTCAAGGAAAAAGCAAAACCACTGCCACTCTTTGCAGTTGCTAATTCCTGAAAGAGCTGAGGAAATGTACATTTTAGACCTTGTAGGACCAGGATACTCTCTAGGTCTGCGGACCGAGTTGCTCTGTAATGAAAAATACTGATTTTGCAGCCAGCTAGAAAAGTCCGCTCAATTCTGGCTGAGAAAACAGAGCAGACACTGTAACAGTTTGTGCAGTACAATAAAGGGGGCAAACTTCTGCTGCCCCAGCATTTGCTTGAATCAACAAATAATGGGTCATATAAAAAAAGGCTTTTTTTCTTTTAAAAGATAGCTCTGAAATGGAAGGGTTGTTTCAGGCCTAATTCATCCCTTTTTGCTCCTGGATGGAGGAAGATCAGTGTAAACTTCTCTCCCTTCCTTCAAGCTCTGTGGGCTAAACTGGGGACCATCTGTACACTCTGCATGTACCTTGAAAGAAAAGGGAATGGCAACTGGACTCACTGCAAACCTTGGGGGAAAACATGGGTCCTTGTGGCTGAGAGGCACACTGTGCCCTTTACCCCCTGGCGATAAGAGAGACTAATGCGTCTGGAAGGATGGGAGGCAACCCTGTAAGGAATGAGTTATCTGTCTTTGAGTGGGGGATTAAGTTCTAGGTGCTACCTTGGACCAGTGACTGCAGAGCCGGAAGTCCCTAAGTAAATATGAGTAGCCACTCTGAGTGAACAGGGCTCACACACATCTGTGTTATCTCCTCCAAATTGCTCTGGGAAATTCTCTCCATCCATATGTTGTTTTCCTGAAAACACACAAGATGGGAAAGTAGTAATCTGTGGTTGTAGGACATAAGCCTGTAGGTGTAGGACACGGGTTTCTGTTGCTTTTGGAATTCTTTCTTTCTTCTGAAGGTCTTTTATTTATTTAATATGCACTTATTTTTTTGCAATATTTGCATTTATTATGATCTCAAAGAGGTCATAATAAATGCAAATAAAACCTGCCTCTTTCTTATACAAGCAGGAGTATTTTCAATTTGCTCTTTTTAGAATGGTGGTAGTTAACGTTGAGTGCCTGAGTTTATAATGCTTTCACAAGTGTTCTTTCCAAAAAAAGACTGTTTATTTTCAGATGTAAATCTGAAGTGTAGGAAGACTTCCTACACTAATGTCATGCTGCCTCTCTCAATATCATAAGGCAAGTCAGTGGTTGCATTTGGAGCTGCACCATACTGGAACGCTGGGGACAAGCTAGGCTAAATCCACTCTTTTTTCCAGGGTTTGAGTATGAAAAATTCCAGACATATTTCAGAGCCAAACTGACATATTGCTTAAAACCAACCCCAACCCCCCTCCCCCCCCCCAAAAAAAAAAACAACCAAACAAAACAGCCAGCCACCAGAAAAACATGAGGAAAGGTTTGAAGCATAGTTGCATAGTTGCAACCACTTCTGTCATTAGGCTAGCAGGAGGGTTAGTTACCCAATATGGTTAAAGATCTTCAGTCAAAGATATGAACTCCAGCATTACTATTAATGAACATCCTTGAGGCATTTCATCAGATCTGATGTATTCTGTGTATTTTTGGAAAATAAGTACTGAATCAGGTGAGAGGCAAAGCCTTTAAATAACCCTACAAATGTGAATGGTCAAAGAAGCACTTTTTAAAACATCTTTGGGAAAAGAAATAACATCCTTTGAAGTGGAGGCAGGTTGGTGTGTCAGAATGAAGCAGCTTCACAGATTTAGACACCTGCTTAATTAGAGGATGAGTATGAAATCCTTAAAAAGCTTTTATGAGGCAGCACTTCAGAGAGCTAGCATTCCTCTAGCATCGGCAGAGAAGAGCAACAGCTCTTATAATCAGCTATTATATCTTTGGAGCTGGGTCAGAAATGAATATATTAGCAAAAAGCACTCTCCATAAATGGAGAGTAGATGTATGTAATTCCCAGACCTCAAACAGGAAGCATTTTGAAAGAACTGAGGAAAGCTGGAATCATGGATGCTTTAGGAGGCAACACTCAAATCATCATGCAGTCAGAAAACAAAATGAGTATGAAAAACCTAGGTAGGTAGATAGCAAGTACACAATCATTTAAACAATAAAAGAACATTTGGTTCATAATTCTGTTGTGGTTCAGTGGTCTGTCCTACAGTTTTCATTCAACCCATTCAGGATTACTACATGAGGAGCTCCTAAATGCCACTAAAACAGGAAATAAGAGAGATTAAACAGCTAACATGTGTCCCACCAGCTTCTAAGCAGGAAAAAAACCCCCACAAAACAGCTGTGTTGATGGAGCAGTGAAAAGAAACTCATGAAAAGTAACTTTAACAAATGCTTGTAAATTCCTAACCGTGTCACGTTAGGAAATATTAGGAGCACAACCACAATAATCATCATCTGACAGAAAAATAGCATATTAGAGGTTTTCCCCTCAAAAGAAGAGAAACTGCAAAGTTTGTAACTGACAAGTGATGAAAACACAAAGCTAACAGCAGGGACTTTTCTTTTTCTAGTACACTGGCCAACATGAAGACAGGGAAGTAATGCAATCCTAATCAAACCCAAGGGCAAGGCTTTTAATATGGCACATAGTGATTGCAAGGCCTTGGTCAGTGGAGAACTCAGATCTGCTTGTTTATGCAGGAACGGAAGGTTGATGAAGAAGCCCTACCTGTTGTGAAGAGGTATGCTGGCATTTACCCAGGAGGCTGCTGCGAGTACTGTGTCTCTTCAATAACATTAAGAGCTCCCAGGAGAGCAGGAAGGCACCTTTACATCTCACTGTATTTAGTGCAAGAAAGAAAAAGAGCAAGTAACCAGTTACATGCTGAAGAAACAGACCAAAATACTGAGTTCCTCAGCAGTTCTCAAGGTCTGCAACCTTTATTCAAAGCATTTTTTATTTAAGATTTATCAGCTTTGTAACTTCCGACAAAGTTGATGTAAAATATTCAGGGAAAAAATACAAAAATTCTAATAGACAACAATTTCCTACTGTGGATTATTTATTTTTAGTCCCATTCATAGTTCAGTGCCCTTTACAAAACACACTCTTCACCTGAACTTTTCAAAGTAGCCTTGTTCTTTTAAGACATTGTTTTCAGGCTGCTTTTCAAATTGCCTTTTATCATACTGAACACTGAAAACAAACTGAAGAAGACTGACAAATTTATTCAATAAAAAGAAGCCGATATACTGCAAATAAAACACGTGCTTGGGAGATAGAAATAATTATTCAAGCTTGAATACAGCTTAGGGCAAAACCAGTCTATTTTGGAACTTCGAATACCCATGGTGCAACTAATGTAAAATACAAATGTAAGTGGCCTATTAATTCCTGTAAAATAAAATAAACTAAAAAAAGACTAGGAGGCCATAAACTAATTATTGAAAAAGCTAAATGACAAAGCACATATTTTACTAGAATTTCTACCCCAGTGTACTGTAAACATTCATACTGTATTAGTTCTGATAGCAAAGTACAGTAAGTGGTTGTATTATGCAAGGTTTAGTGTACTGACATCCATTTTTATTCTAATACTGCCCCATATTATAAGTGGGATACAATAAACATATAGTATTGCTGCTACATTAGCCTGCTCTCATATGCAACTGCAGTGTTATGGAAGTAGGTTTCAACTCTGTTGTTCATCCCTAATGCAAAAGTTCAAATATGTCAGTTAAATTCATTTTGTCATTTCTCAATGAGACCACCACCAAATGTCTTACCGCTTTCTTTACAGTTCTGAGGACTTGCCTACAACTCCTGCCTATAAATGATTTGTCATCTTTGAGACATAAACTGTAGCTTTTCTCAAGACCCAGAAAAGAGCCAAAGGGTGGACATCCTCTTTCATGACAAGCAGACAGACACCATTACCATTACATGCACCGAGAAGAACCCCACTGAGAAGAATCTCTCTCTTTGTGAGGCCGACATCCTGTTTTGGTTCCCTTCCAAGCTGGATATTTAGCATAATACAAAATACAGTCTTCTTTATTTCTGCTTAGGAGGAAATTTCATTTCTTCTCCATAGAACATCAGGCTACACGAACTCCCAATCTTAATCACAGAATCAGACTGGTTTGGGTTGGAAGGGACATTAAAGCCCATCCAGTTTCAAACCCCTGCCATGGGCAGGGACCCCATCCACTAGACCAGGTTGCTCCAAGCCCTGTCCAAGCTGGCCTTGAACACTGCCAGGGATGGGGCATCAAACTCGTCACTGCTAATCTGGAATCTCAGAGGTAATTTTATCTTTCACAATGCAAAGATACACAAGCTTCTGCTGGAGAAGAACATGGCTCCCTGTTTCTCTGCTGCTTAAGCTGCTTTGAAAACATCAAAGCCATGATCAGTGCTCTCCACTGAGTCTCAGTTAGTTTTCGAGGCCAGTTTAAGTTCTGGATATATGTTTTAACATGAAACAGAAAAATCAAACTTGATCTACCTCAAGGCCTGATCTGTATCAGCAAACCTTCTCTGAGAAAGGTTTTCTACCCACTGTATGACTATCTACTTGTAGCTCCAAATCATACCTGCTGCTCCTGGAAAAGGCCCCTAGAGAGGAAAAATCCCATCTGTAACAGGATTTCTTTTCAGGCATTAAGGCACTATCTGATCAGTAGCACCAGCAGTGTAAAACTGCCATGCAAATTTTGTATTCACTGCAGTTACTCTTGATTTTCTGCACCTGCAAAAAGATGGGAAGGAATTCACATTCTTGGGCTAGATACTGTGCTGGGGTACATTTACACAGTTAAACTGAAATCAAAAGAGCTACACTGATTTATAGGAGCTGAGGGTCTGCTGCAACATTTCATACCCACAGAAAAGATTTGGGTCCTTTTTTGCTTTCCTAATTTTGCCTGTGTAGAGGTTGTAAATATTTGATATTGTCATCCTTGTTAGAAAGGTTTTTTTTTCAGATCTCCTTTTTAGAAAGCTCAGATGATGGTCCTCAATATACTATGCATTTACGTAGAAAATTACTATTTACCTAGAAGCTTACTTATGAGATTGAAGTAAACTGGTTTCATGTCCACAACTTTCACCTAGTATCCTTTACACTCCAGCACAGCAATGCTTTTGATAGTTTCAGATTAGTTAAACTTAACTATATTTTCATATATAAATGTGAAAGTTACACTTGGATCTATATTCTTGGTGCCTTACTGCTTTCCTTTTTCAATTCTGAATAAACAAGGCTACAAATCTGGGATACTGTCCTTCATTATAGGGAAGAGGTATCTAACAATCTCATTTGAACTGCCTTAAAAATGTCAGCACCTACTCTAGGTGTAAGAGCCTAAATGCGTAGCTCATAAACCCAGAAGAAATATGAAAACATGTTTTCATGTTTCCCTGAAAACCCATTTCTACAACTGTGTGATTGCAGGGAGCTCACAAAACCAGCAACACATTGAGTTTTCAAATGAAATGTCCGTAGCCTGTAGAATAATTTAAGCAGGTGTTAATGAGGTGTACAGAAAGGCCAGGGAGGGTAATTGATACATCCCCCTGCAACAGGAAAAAACCCTGAATAAATGTTAATTGCTCATATTATGCAACCAGTGATTTTTAGCATGGCACTAAATTAGCTGCAAATATTATAATTACAAAGTACTGGGTAATTTAGGAAAGATTAATTGAAATGATTAAGTGAAAACTGCGTAATTTTGCAAGGTAGTATTAATACTTTCTGCAAAGAAATGAAAAGAACCCCAACCCCTATGGCTGTTACTGGTTATTTAATGAAGTACATTATACACTTCCTGAAAGCATCAGTGCCCTTCTCTCAAAGGGTATAACATGATTTTCAGGGGGTAAAATCACTGTAGTGTTGCTAATAACCAGAATCTCTAAACCAGTCTATTTTAAGGGCTGAACTTGATGTCAGTGACATAGGAGCAACACAAAAATACTGCTTTATGGTCTGTGTCCAGCAGCCTTTTCTGAAAGCTACAGCAACTGTGGCTATTTACTGAATAAGAATGTAAGCAATTGTGCATGCAGTTTAAATGCATTCAGTGTAACCAGGAAAAGGAGGCCCACTTTAACCAGGACAGCAGGAAGTATCACTATGCAGCAAGAGTTTTAATTCACGTTCCTGCCTGCAGCACACCAGCCTGCAGACTTCATATTGTACTGTATGGAGGTGGAAGGGATGGTGACGAATCTGGAGAGGGATCTGAAAAATTGCTCTGCTGCAGGAAGGATTTCTTGCCTGGGAGTATTCTCTATTTTAAATGCAGGATACACTCCCGAGTGTTACCTATTTATTAAAATCTCTTGAGCAGTATTTATTTTTTGGTGGCTTAATATGTAATCCAATTCAAATGTAGTTATTCAGAGTGACAGTGGAAACCAGAATAGAATTCGGTATTGGGAATAATTCTGGACTTTTGAGACAAAGGGAAGAAAATATCATGTTGTTCTTGACTAATGCATGTCACAGCTATAAGGACTGTAAGATATTTCACTTTTCATTAACACACATGCCGTATGTCATTATAAGAAGCACTGTGAGTAGTGAAATACTAATGAAAATAAGTATCTCATCCTTTTGGCTAGTTGTAACACTAAGGACTTGTGATGCTGTGATGCTCAATGTACAGGATGCATGTTAGGAAATGCCTTCTATTTCTACAGTCCTAAATTCACCCATATGCAGGGACATGAGGAAAGCATCAGTTAATTCCCACAAAAAAAATGGGTAGACTCCTTATCAATTCTCAGTACAGGCTGAAATCCCCTTGACACCAGGCTAGGTATGAAATTTTGACTCTGATTTCAGCTAAACCTTAAATTCTGCTTAACATGACGAGTACAGTTCAGGAACACAGGGGCTCTGGATTTTTGTCCTACTCAGTATCTCACCTTAATGTGTGTTTCAGCTCGTTTCACTTGAAGAGATCTTGCTTAAGCCTAATCATATGCAATATTGAGTAAGAATGGCTCAGTAAATCTGGGCAAAAAGGCTCATCTAAAAGTAAAATGAAGTCTGTGCAGAAATCTATTAGGACAACATTGAGAAGACCCATGCAGGATTAGAGTCAAATTTAAAATTATGATGCACATTGCAGTCTTAGTAACAAAAGGAAATAGGGATATATTAAATACAGATCTGATTTAAGAGATCAAAGAGATGTGAATCTCATAGCCAGATACCCATGCACAGAGCCTCTGAAGCCAGTGCAGCTGGACATAATTATTTGTGTTGCCCTTATCAAGCTTTGACAGATATTTGTACCTCAAAAGGTTCATTACTGACTGACAGATCTGAATCATAATTCCTTATGCAAGACAAAGTGCCTGGCACACTAGAGGCCAGAGCATAATGCTGGCAATAGGCAAGACAGAAAAAACGTGCAAGGTTGCAAATGAGAGGCTGGGTTCTGTAGAGCCCTTAAACTGCAAACAAAAGAAGTGTAATTCATAGCAGGTGTCTGTGAAGCTGCCTGAAAATACAGCCTTTAGATTCTGTGCTGCTCTTTGCCTGGCCAGCCTCCATGCAGTGGTTTGGAGAGGTGCAAAAGCCACTTGCAAATTAGCTGAGAACACTCTGCTCAGAGCCTCAGAAGAGACAGCTGGACGTTGCCAAGCACAGGCACACCACAGCCACACATGCATTTGTCCACCCACGTTCACTCTTCCCCCTGATACTTTCATAACCAGGAAGGGGACTAGTGACACATGAACCTCTTGCATGAACCTGGTGTAAGATGGAGCCCAAATAGCAGTGAAACACTAAGAACTGACAGTATGCCTCTGTCAATTTTGTCTTATTTGTAAGAAGCCTGAATCACTATCAAGAGAAAATGATAGACTGATTTTACTCACAAATGTATGACAGCAGTTACTTTCCAATGCTGGCATTCACGAATGCTGGCACAGCAAAATATTAGAAGAAAGTCGTAGCAAAATAATAAACATTCAAAAAGCAGCAGCTAAATACAATTCATAACTGTTAGGCAAAGCTACAGCAATGCTCTTAGACCAGTACCTTATTTTACACTGAGATTACATAGACAAGTTTAAAAGTATTTTGAATTTAGACTTTCATAATTACATCATAATTACAGTGTCCTAGATAACAAAGTAAGAGTTTGTAAAATAAGTATCTTATTCATCTGAATAGAAATAGTTCCTTTATCTGACACAGCCAGTTGGGTTTGCCCTTGCAGGTATACATTTGTTGTTTGATGGAAAAAACTCTTTTTTTAAAAGTATGTAAATGCAACTGATCGTAAGGAAAAAAAAATAAATCATAAACCATCAGTAAAAATATACTGCATTGCCCCTTAAACCTGCACCATTTTTGATGCACATTATGAACATACTTCATGTTGGTTTGACCAGTATGCTTCTTACAGTGTAAAAGTATGTTAGTGTGAACTGTATTAATAGGTGTGGAGTCCTCTGAAGTCTCTTCTCTCCATCTCAAATAAATTGTGTCTATTAAAATACTGGGGTTGAATCCCATGAAATGAGTTGATTCTATTTCCCCACAGTTTGAACTTGGTCTACTTTTGTTACAGAAACTTTACAAGGTTGTCTTGTTTAGGCTGAGAGATGAATGTTATGTTATACTAATTATTTGCCAACCAAACCCCAAATTCAAACACTTGGTTTTCCAGAGGTTTTTGTTTAGCAAGATAATGATATTTAGCAACAACAAGTAAGTCCCTCGCTGAGTTATTCTATACCTGCCTATTGCGAGGCTTCTGCAAATTCCTCTGCACCAGCAGCATAGTAGGCTAGCCAATCACTGCTCTGAGCTAAAAGCACAAAACCTCTTACAGAAGAAACCTCAAAAAGACATACAAGTCTGGGTATTCAAGTTCTCTCTCTGCAGGTGAGAAGAACTGAAAAGTGCAAACTGCACAGCTGAAATCTGGTAGTGTCAGAGCCCAGCCCTGAATCTGTAGCTCTATCCCGAAGGACTGCTGATGGAAACTTGAGTGCAAATGTGGGTACATTTGCCTGAACAATGACTAAGCATGTTAAGTGTGAGAATACTAAATAAGGGGTCAGTTTCACAAGCAACAGATAGGAATTGCTTCAGCGAAGCCACAGTGATTGGTGTTACCCGAGGAGCTGGTGGCAAGTGTTTGCACATGATGTACATTTCTGTGTGTGTGCACAGGGACCAACCTAACAGCAGCCATCACAACTGATCCTTTAAGACTACAAGGAATTACGGTGTCCTTTCACTGTACAAATGACATGACTTAAACACCTCCTCAGGTAAAAGTCCACTTTTCCAAAGGGCTCTGAAAATGAATAGAAGAAGTGGTATTTGTAAGTATGGTTCAATAGGACTGGTACAGCTCACAAACCCTGGGAAACACAGGACAACTATTTTAGTGTTTTGGGGAAAACTGATTTTCACTGGTATGACCAGAAAGCACTACTTAGGGCTGATAACAGCCTTACCATTTTAAAAAATCAGCATTCCAATATAAAATATTTCACGTTAGTATTTTTCCCGCTTTATCTCCTTGTTTCAACATTAAAACGGAAGTATCCTTTAGAAAACCTACCTGCTACCACTTCAGAGACACTGCTTGTGCAGCTTTGTGTCTGTAAATACAATCTAAGAGCCTAAATTAAAAACAACACTCAAGCCCCACTTTTGCAAACGTAATTAAAACATAGACATGTTCACTAATACTATCTGAAAACATGCAGGTGTCATGAATCTTTGCTCACTTACTGTATGCTTGTTCTGTGTTACTGCCACTTCCTATATAATGATGTCCAGTAGTAATACTGGCGCATGGCAACTTCTCTGAGTCAGGCTTTTATAATCAAAGTTGCCAATACAATGCCTGAGGTTGATTAGTAAGATATAGGGTTCCTCTTTTGAGTTATGTCAGTGGCTGTGTAACTCTAAATATGAAAGAGATGTTTTACAAAAAAAATCAAAGGCAAGTGTTTTACATTACATCTTATAAAACTGTACATAATAAAAGTCTCCAACATGAAAACAGCCATTAAAATGTTGTAATAGTTATGAAATGTAGTAAATAGAACAATTCTAATGTTTCATGTATTTATCATTAATCACTGTATTCATACAGTGGTGTTTGTTGTGTATATATATATTCAATGGCACTGTAAACAGGTGTTGGAAAACACATATTTACTCTTAACCCATTAGAAGTTATTATAGTACTTTTTAATCCAAAAAGTCAAAATGCATTAATGCATCACTGATTTTAAAAAATAGCCTTGTAATGTGATGCCCATTTTGACATTTTCTAGAATAGCAATCAAGATGAAGCATAACAAAGAACGCCAGATTTCAGATTGGTTTACATTTACACCTACCATGGCACAAAATTTTAAACATTAAATGTCATTAAATAATACACAGTTTATAAACCAGTTGATTTCAGAGATGCACAATGCACAAAAATCTAGTTACTGTCTAATGGGACTTCCAGTAATTTATATCTCTGGGACCTTTATGAGAAATTTAAGTTGGTTTCTCTTTAACATCACATAGGCAAAGTGAGTTTGCACTGAATTATCTCTTTCTTAATCTGTACAGAGCTGCATTCAGCTGGATAAAACACGGTTATTCACATTTCCCACTGCTGCTGGACAATCATCCAATAAGCCTTGAGCATATGCTTATGCATCTGGTAATGGCATTTTGTGGGGCTAGGAAACTCACTATCTCTATCCCACAGTAAACAAAGTGGTTAGAATTTTTTCCATAGTTAAGGCCACTATACTGATATATTAGACACACCATATGCTCTTATGTTGCTGCCTACAATCTAAACTGTAAGAGTGAAAGGAAGTTTCAAACATGCTTTTTGATCTTCTTGACCACTCAGGAATTTCATCAAGCTGGTGGAGAGCAAGTACTTCACTTTAACATGGTTTACAATGGTAGACATAGCTTTTTTGCTGTTCACTAGAAAAATAATGTATTGGCTTGAATGTGAAGACTGAACGTCCACATAATTTATCAGAAAAATTAAACAAACAAACCCAGCCAGTCAGATCGCAGCAAATGAAACTGAGAAAAACAGTAACACACGTACACAATTTCTGTGTTTGCAATTATTCCCTTGGTATTTCCATCACTGTCTCTGTATTGCGGTGGGCTTTGTCAAAGCCTATCTTCAGACATTGTAAGTCATGACACCTGGTATCTGCCAACTCCAGCATATTGTTTAATATTTATTCTAACATATCACATAAACTAGAGAGCCATTTAAATTCCTTTTCTCTTGGGTAAGGCTGCAGGTATAAACGACAGTGAACAGGAAAGGCTTGTGCAGTGGCTGCAAGGCAATGTAGCTACAGTGGATGATGCCACAGAACTGCTAGTGCTGTTAAAACAACAAGTGAGGAACTCAGGGCTGGACTGCTCCCATTTCCAGTTACACTGTGTTTAGAGGATGACTTGACAGTGCTTGTGGTAGTTGTGGTGTCAATCTTTTTCACAGTCGGTTTTGGTTCGTTTCTGTTTTCTGGATGGGTTTTCTTGTCCTTGAATATATCTGAAAACATGAAAGCAAATGCAAGATTAATCATACATCTTTTAAAGTTTTTAAGTTTAAGGCTTTGAGTTCTGTCTGTTGTGGGAACATGTTATACAGTAGTCTGCATAACTGAACTGAACATATAGAGAGTGATGGGGCACTTGTAACATGTTTCACTTGGCCCCAGTCTGTCCCCTCAGCACCCACTGTTCTGCTCAACAGTGTTCTCTGACTGGCCTGCTCTACTTCTCTATGTCTAGATGCAGCCTGAGCAGAATAACAGGTATTCCGCATTGCGGTGGCTGGTCTCTCACAAAAAGTAGCTTCAGTTTCACCTGGGATGGGAGCTAACTCATGCTTTAAAACATGATGTTAGGATTGAGTGCTTCTGTAATGTGCCCCAGTGAAACACCGATCAAGTTGCTGAGTTGCTGCAGGAGACCAGAGAGCACATTGGCTTAATGTAACAGTCAGCATCCCAGCTTCCTTCTGCTTTGCCCCTACCCTTAACCTAACATTGGCAACAAAGTGGCTACAAAGAGAAAATGCTTTGGATTTTGCTTTGTTGTTTTTCCCAGCAAATACAAGGATTTTTTGTTTTCAAAGTATGGAACAATATCACCAGGGCTTTTTTTCTCCCTACAGATGCATTTTGGGGCAATATCACATAAAAGATGAAGCAGTAGTAGTCCTTTATTGCAAAACCATGGATTTTTTTTTAAATGAGAAAATGACTGATAAAAGTCTCCAGTTATCTTGCTGTTCCCAAGCTATTTGCAAGTACTACCAAGGTCATATTGTCCTTGAACCCTCTCACTGGCGTTGGGTGTGTATGTGAAATAAACCCACCGTTTCATCTGATGATGATTTTACAGCCAGTCTGTAAAAGCATACCCAAATGCCAGGCAAACCCCCCGAATTCCTACCTAGAAGAATTTATAAGTTAACAATAATTGTTCAGGTCCAAACTTAAAGGATTTGTGATACTACTGAATGCAGTGCACATACACTGGAACCCAAAAGGCATGGATTTGTAATGCAGATTAAACAACAGTCCAATCTTAAAATAAAAACTCTGAATCACAGAAGCAAGTTCCTGGCAGAAACTGGAAAGATGAAAAGTATTCCAGAAATGTAAATGCAATCTGAGATCATTGTCAGCATGTCAGTAGCTCTGAACAACCATCGATAAACTCACTTGATAATAAAAATGAGCTACTGTATTGGGAAAGGACACATTGTTCTTTTGCCAGTGTAAGCTATAAAAGAAATACAATGAATTCTTTATTTTATCATAATATCAACATTAATCCCAGAGGAACCTGGGATTCCTAGACCTGACTCCAGGGTGACTGCAGAGAAGGGACTGGCAAGGTGATTAGTGGGACAGAGGTAGTCAGACACTGCACTTAAAATTCATGATGGCAAACTATGGACATAGCTCCTCTCCAACTTGCAATGGAGCTAATGGAAAGGAGGGGGCAAAAGCATACTCTAAGTGTTTAGAAAATATCAGTATTCTGAGGACACTTAAAGAAAAATGGACAACCTTCAGACTGTCATTAAAGTAAATTAAGAATAAATCATGGAAATAGGTATGTTCTGACACTGCCGAGACTCCTTTCCATCACTGTCATTCTCCTTTCCCACTGCGGTAAAGGCACTATTTCTCTGCTGCCTCTTATATCATCCCAGCCTGCTGACTTCAGCTCCCTGGGGCCAGCTGATTAAATTAAGACCTCACTCAGGTAAATCTATTCCCCTCTTTCAGCTGGCCATGTCCAGCATTGTAACTTGATTGGCATCTATAAATCGGGCAGGCTGAAATGTATTAATTCATTTATTTTCTTAATATTGACTTAACCAAAAATCTAAGGTAACAGATAATGCTATCAGAGAGGCTGCTGCTGGTTTTTGAAAGCTTTCCTCTCAGTGACTGCTTAATGCCCTATATAACAGGTGTTAAATAATACATTAGAAAACTCTGCCTTTATCCTTTCCATGGGAAGGACTACATTTGGAATCCTCTTTCTGCCTTCACAGCACAGTATCTACTGGTGCTATTCATGCCCAATTCTAATTTGGGATTTAATTGTGCAAAACTAGCATTTTATTTAAAATGGTCTGTTTTCTCTCTTCTTAAAAATAAATGAAAATACCCTCAGCCCTAATTCAGATCTTTTTCAATCCTGTATTTAGTTTTTAAAGCACAAATTTCATCAATGTAAAGATTTCAGTCTTCCTTACTCACTGGAGGGTTTTGCTTACTCACTCCAGGGTTTTGGCTGAGAGACTCCAAGTTAAATGAGTTTTTCCTCTTAAATCTTTGCCTCAGAGGTACCTATGTTCAGTCTACTACTGACATTCAAAAGGAAGAAAAACAGCAAGCATGCTGAAAGAAAAAGAAGTGTCAGTGTGAAGACTAGCACTGAAAGGAAACTCCAGTTTCAACAAAGCAAACCACAGATGTTCAATACCCATGAATCAAGCCCCAGTGTATGACTTCATAAAAGCAAACAAACCAACCCCACAACTTTGGTTTGTGGTAGTATGTACCTTCTGCATTTTAAAGGTTTTATGGTTCCCAATTAAAAGCTTTTTCCACCACTAGAAACTTTCTTCCCATCATCAGTCATTCTCTCCTTTCCAGAAATCAGACTCACAGAATGGCTGGGTTGGAAGGGACTTTAAAGCTCATCCAGCTCCAACACAGTAATGCATATGCCGCTCAAACAACACTGAACTTCTGAAATACCTACATGGATCAATGCTATTCCTCAGAGAGACTAGCTTAGGCTAAACAGGAGTGTCAAAACTGTCATTGTCATCTAATTTGGGAACAGGAACCCTCAAGTGTGGGCTGAGCATATGCCTTTCAAACACATTTCGTGAGTGACACATTGAAGCACACCTCAATCTTAGCCAGGAATGATACGGGGTAAAAAATGGCATTATTATCTTCCTAGTTTATAACCAGGTTATCTGACGCAAGTTCAAGTCTTATTAGCACCCCAGCTGGTCGTGCCCCCTCCTTAGGCTAAATGACTTGCAATTTTCTACTGACAGGGACTACCAAAGATGTAACTTTGGTGTACGTGCATGCTATTGTTCTCTAATGAACAGTATCAGCAAGGTCTGCTTAAAATGTCTGTTGAGGTTTCCTGTGGTCCTGCCAAGGGATGAACAAGTTCATCTTACTTGACACAAACACCTTTCCATTTTGGTCCTTTTCTTGACCTTACTTGAGCTCAGTCTTTTCTCAGTGAATGCAAATCATGAGGGTGATACAGAGTCTTTCCCTGCAGAGACTTGCCACTGAGCCCTCCTCATCTCACTGAATCAAGCTCAGCACTGTCTCCATTGAGCTGAAGGATAAATGCAAGGACTCCCTAGACAGGCTGCTGCTGCTGCCAACAGGGGAAGATAAAGTATTGCTGGAGCAAAGGAAAAGGCAGGAAGGGAAAGGTGGTTGAATGGGCTGATCTCCCACTGAGGGAAGCTGGATTAGTTTTGGGGAAGCCTGTGTTTGAGCTGGCCCAGTGCCTTCCAGAATAAGGGGAGATTGTTTATTTCTGCTTTGCCACATTAATTACATGAAGCTTGGGGGTTGGAACCAGATGATCTTTAAATCTGTTCCAACCTAAACCATTCCAGGGTTCTGTGAAGTCAGACCTGTCCATTTCTTCCTAGACGTTCATGCAAACACTGTGCTTTGAAAAGACAGAATGTCAGCATCTACTATAGCAAATGAATGCCTCATCATGGTTGTCATGATCCTCACAATGGAGGTCTAAAGCAAACTGGTCAGTACCTGCATTTAATCTCCACACTGCACCTCAGTTCCTTGATAAATTTTGCTGTGATCACAGGCACGGTTTTAGCTGACAGCTTCATAAGAAAATTAAAACGAGGTGCAACTTGGTGGAACAGGCTCTTAAATTACAGTAGATGCTGCAGTGTTATTATTAGCTTTTTATCACCTCTGGTAGCAAAAGCTGAAATTACTTTTACATATTCAAAGGAAGGAGCTCTGAAATTGCAAAACAATGCTGTCACCATAAAATGTACCAACCATTTCCAAATAATCTATTATCCTGACATTAAAGCCAGCACTAATTATTTCCAGTTACAGCTGCAGCAGACAAATGGGAACAGGAATGCTGTGGAAATGGCAATGTGAGAACCCCCGAACTGTGGTAACTCAAGATGCTATTCTCCAAATTCTGGAGCCAGTTATTGTCCGTTACATAATACTAATCAGTAAAAGGCAGGTGTAATAAATCCCTTTTGGAGCCAGAAGAAGGGAGTAACTAACAGCTCTGCAGCCTCCCATGTATGTACTGTTCTACCCCTTTCTATTTCAGCCTGAGAATATGGTGTCCATCTAAGCCTTTTCCCCATGCACCTTCTTACGGGAACTTGGACTTAGGGAGAAGAAATCTTTAAGCAGACAAAGGACGGTCTACAGAGTTAAGTCTGAGTTGAACAGGTCACTTAACTACTGAGCTGCATTAGAGGTTTAGGCCAGTCTCCACAAAAAATCCAGGACAAGATTATGAGGGTTAACTGATGTGTTCCACCCTGGTTCTGCAATCTTTCCATTTCTTTTCTTAACGACTGTGTGACTAAAGTTGGCCTTGGGGGATACGCATAAACTGGGACTAGGATCATCTATGTCCAGTTTTTAATTCTGCATTAAACTCTGTGTGATCTTTGGCAGATCCCTTCTCCCTGCAGGCCAGCAAGAGAACTACTCTATTTCCCGCATATTTTGCACATCCTGGGTGTAAATTCTTCAGGCTGAGAACCACCATATCCGCTCTCTCCTCAAGAAATAACATTGGCTGGAGCTTACAGGAACTACTGTTATTAAAAGAACAGTCAAATGCAACAAAGAGAAAAATGCAATAAAGTCAGGAGCAACTGTGAGACAGGCAACTGTGAGATGTCGGGTGCCTGGAAGCCACGCTTTCAAGAAATGGCAGCTCCGTTCCACATTCCCAAACAATCTTTTTGTC